TTTTCTAACATAAAACCAATATTTCCTTTTTAAGATGAAGCACACATTTTTACTTTCATAAGGATACCTATTCCCATTTTCCCTTAAAATTTTCTTATATCTCCTCTCCTCTCTTATTAAATTATGTATCTGTAGGAATTAACTATTTCACATTAATTTAAAAATGCATATACCTGTAAAAAAGAAAAAAATATAGTTATTAAATTTTTTTATCAACTTACCATCGGTTTACAATTTTGTGAAATTTCAGTAGTTTGGTTCACTTGTTTGTATTAGGCTCACCATCTCCACAATGACTTTTTTTTTCTAATTTGTGAGTATAAAGAAACACAGTAAGGGAACAGCAAATGGCCAGTCAGCCTCTGGCCACTAAGCTGGCTCATGATATGTATAAATATCACGGGAGTCATGGACCAGGAAGAGTGGAGGAAGTAGGCAGAGAGATGGTACAGCAGGAAAGGTACTTGCCTTGCACTTAGCTAACTGGGGTTCAATCCCAACATTCCAAGGGATCTCCCAAGCCCTACCAGGAGTAACCCTGAGCACAGAGCCAGGAGTAAGCCCTGAACACCACTGGGTGTGGTCCCCAAATGAGCAAAAAAGACCTACCAAAAAAGAAAGAAAAGGAATTAAAAATGAAGGAAGTACTAAGGCAATCTCTTTGAGAACCGGTTATTCATCCAACATCAGACAGAAATCTCTTTGTTTATATTTTGGGAACTGCTCCCTGTGATACACAGCCAGTCTGGCTGGATACTTCAAGACTAGGGCCTGAGGATGCTGTACCGCTCCCGCCCTGTGATGCCAGGGCCACCTTCGCAGTATCCAGGGACCTCCAAGGCAACCTTGGTTCAAGGACCATCAGGGCCACCTCAGCAGTGTCCAGCGACCACCAAGCCAGCCTTAGTTACTCAGGGATGTCCAGAGCCACACCCTGGACTACACAGGGAGCCACATAATGCTGGGAAAGGAACCTAGTGGCAAGCAATAAATATACCCAAACCTCAGTGCTTTCTACCTGGCTCCTAAAACTCTTTCTTTCTTGGGTGGGTTTGGGTTACATCCAGCTGTGCTCATGGCTTTCTCTTGCTCTGTGCTCAGGGGTCCTACCGGGGTTTGGGAAGGACCCTATGTGTGCCAGAAATTGAACTGGGGCTAGCCACATGCAAGGCAAGTGCCCTAACTCTGTACTCTCTCCCTGGCCCTTAAAACTCATGATAGGTGTGGACCAGAGGGCATCCTGCATCTCGGGTGAGACAATGAGGAGAGCAGGAGACACACGGGACCTCCTGAAGCCTCCCCGCTCATCCCTGACACTTCCCAGAGGGGCATCTGTAGTTCCTGGCTCCACAGAGAACGAAGCAAGAGAGGACAGGGCCTGGGGCTGGAGAGATAGCACAGCAGGTAGGGCATTTGCCTTGCATGCGGCCAACCCGGGTTCGATTCCCAGCATCCCATATGGTCCCCTGAGCACCACCAGGAGTAACTCCTGAGTGCAGAGCCAGGAGTAACCCCTGAGCATCGCCAGGTGTGACCCAAAAAGGAAAAAAAAAGAGAGAGAGAGAGAGAGAGAGAGAGGACAGGGCCTTCGGCACTCACCCAATTGCCTGGTTTTGCTTGACTCGTTCCCCTACCTTATTGCCATTTAAATACAGTTTTCATGATTTTGTTTGCTTTAGAGGAAGGGGAAAAAAAGATGCATAGAGGGTATAAAATTGCACATGATTTACCCCGAGAAGAAAATCGTCCCCTCTGTAAATATGCATGGAAGCATTTGTATTTGTATTTGTATTTTTTAAAGGCGTTTAAATAGGCCTAGTCGACCATGAGATCTCTGTTCAGAGTTGGTGCCATCTATTGATTAAATATGTATTTATACATTTCTTCCTCTACGTTTTCCTAAATAAAAGAGACATATATTTTAATCACATAATAGACCTGGAAGAATTGATCAGCAAAAAAAATACATATTTATGCGTTTCCTTAAGAATGATTTTATTAAGGCATACAAAATTTAGAAACTAAATTTTTTTCTGAATAGCACTGATGTTCGCTAAATGTGAATTTAATTAAAGGGGGAAGGTGTGTGTGTGTGTGTGTGTGTGTGTACATATGCGTGTATAAAGAATTTGGTTGAATACATGTGTTTTTAAAAAAAAATATGTGACTGACAGGAAATAGAGAAACACATAAATTATAGAGTAAGAAAGACCTAGATTCCTTTGCCACTAATTAGCTTTGGAGTAGGGATTCTTCCAAAATGGGGATTTCAGTCCCCAGGCCTATTTCTTCTGTGGAATGGGAGAGCTTGTAACCACGTGAGATCCGGAGCAAGCACGTGGGCAGCTCCTGCCTGGAATCTGGCTCCATCCAGCGGACCAGGCTCCCTCCTGTCCAGTCCTGCTCAGCCAGGGAAACACAAGGGCCCTCCTGGCCCAGAGCAGGCCTTGTGTATGCAGGGGGCCGTGCCCATTTCTCCTCTCTCCTGTGTTCACAGCCTGGCTCAGAGCCTGGGTATGGCCACTTGGCATGGGAGGTCATCTGCTCTCTGAGCCCAGCATGGCAGCAGGACCACAGGGATCTGGACAGCCCTCCTTCCTCGGAGAGAGGAGACGCGCCGCTTCGGGTGCAGGAAGGCTGTGGAAATCAGTGCTGTCATCTTGTGACCTTGAATGAATGACCGAGCTCAGGATCGCAACTGCTCATCTCAGGAAGCCTCACTCCTTCTCCTTAGAAGGAAGACCTGGGTGACTGTGACTCAGCTTTAAAAACTCTGATCCCAGAGGGAGATGAGAGGGGGCCCATGACTGGGGTGATGTGCCCAGCCTTCAGGCCCTCGAACCCCTTGGCTTCACGCTCTGGTCTCCTGAGCCACTGTTCCACTGTGTTCTGCCAGCCGCCGTCTGATCTGGCAGGCGTCAGGAAGGAGTACCGAGCCCACCTGCCTTGTTCCATCCTGTGCACTTTGTCCAGCATCATCTCCATAAACAAGCTCCCCTGACTCACGTCCTTCCCCTGCTGGAATGAAACGATCTTTCCCCAGCAGCAACAGCAAACGGACCCATCTGATCCCTCCCACCCACCTCCAACCCCGTCTGTTCTCCAGCACGCTCAGCCGCCTGGGAGGATCCGAGGCCATTGCCGAGGATTCTAGCAGTGTTCAAAGGGGCCACCCGTCACTCTCCGCGTGAGTGACGCGTTGGCAACTACCTGCTCTGCAGAGATGGGCCTGAACCCTTTTCCCGTTTCACCTCTTTCCTGCTTATCATTTAGATCTAGTCAGCAACATCCTCACTTCTCTGGGGGCTCTTCAAACACATCTTACGCCTCTTTTCAGACAAAGACAAATGTGGTCTCTGCGTTCCCAGCCTGCCAGAAGGACCCGGCAGGGGAAGCTGGGACTTGACAAAGCCAGCGATCGGCTTCCAAGAAGGAGCCTTGGAATTCTATGGCTTCTCTGGCGAAGCCTTTGGACTCGTTCATAAGGAAGGTGAAGGCATGAGAGCAGGGGCCTCATGCTATCAGGAAGGGGTGGGAAGGGGGATGGAGCGCCTGTTTGGGGGAAATAACTTGCTGAAGGCTGAGGTTCTAGCTAACTAACTCCTAAAAACTAAGGGGGTTTACTGTGCACAGAGATGCCTTTCAGCTTTGCCTCATCTGCTGTGTGACTTTGATGGAGCTGTTGCGCCTCTCTGAGCTTGTTTCAATTAATCCAGGGCTTGAAGAATGCCTTGAAGGGAGAGCTCAGCCAGGCAGAGAAAGGGAAGAACAGGGCCCTGGCGTGGAGTGGTCAGAGCCTGGCTGGGCACACTGTTGGGTCTGGTAAGGACCTTGTGTTCAGTTGTTGCAGGGCACTGTGGGGCAGAAACGGTCTTGTACCTGCCCGTGTCCTTTCATCACCCAGTGTGTTCTTATCTGGGATCCAGGCATACTTCTGGGCGGTATTGGGGCCAGAGCCATAGACCAGTGTGGAGGGCGCTTGCCTTGCACATGGCCGACCAGTTTCAATACGGGCATCCCTTAGGGTCTCCCAAGCCTGTCAGGAGTGATCCCTGAGCAGAGCCAGGAGTAAGCCTGAGCACAGCTGGGTGCCCCTCACCCCAACGACACCAAAAGGAGAAAACAAATTTGGGGTGGTATTTTCCACTGGAAGTGAGCAGGGCTGCCATTCCAAGGCCTGTCTTTGAGAACAGCTACAGGCCCTTATAGGACAGGAGGTGAGTAGGAACCGACTGTGAGGCCTGGGGCACCCAGAAATACAGGCCAGATAAACCACTCTTCCCGAGAAAGGGACAGAGCAGACTGGGCTGGGAAGGGAGAGGTCCCCTCCCACCTCAGGATCCCATCTGCTAATCCCCCCCACCCCCAGGCACTGTAATTGTGGCAATTGTTTGGGTTTCTATAACCTCACCTCTTAGTGGAGTTCCCGAGGCCTCTTTCTTGTGGGACCTGGCCAATTTGCACAGCATCCTTGGCCAGCAGAGAGGAAAAAATAAAAAAAACCCTCTTGTACCCATCTTCCTGCTGGGAAAAGTGAATCACTTCCAAGAGCTCTTAAAAGGCAGAATCAGGGAGTGGTGTGGTAGGTTTAAAGTCCAAGCTTCCCCAAAGGCTTATTAAGGTTTCTGTTGCCTCCCTGTCTTGGGTGCCAGACAAGGGGACCCAGGGAGAAGGGGTCAAGGGAACAGGGCAGAGGTGGCTGTCACAGCTGTCTCGTGCCCAAGCCTTGCTTAGGTAAAGCTTGTGCGAATCTATCACCTGCCCAGGACCTCCCTGTGCTCAGGACCCCCCGGGACACGGGTGGCCAGGCACACTCATGATCCTGGTCACGGGTGAGCAAGGGGCAAGAGAGAATCCCTGAATAGGTGCGTGTCGGGTGTCTCTGGGGAGCGCAGAGCCAATGCGAGGCGGGAGGAAGTCTGCTCCAAGCCGGTTACAGATTGGTGCCCATGATTCTTGCCAGTTGTGTGTATGTGCAAGCAAAAAAAAAAAAAAAAAATCAGAGACACTGCCTGCCTGCTCCCCTCTCGCGCGCGCTCTCTCTTGCTCCCTCTCTCTTCTGCTCTCTCCCTCCCTTTGCAAACATTGGATTTAAACCTGCTCAGAATTCAGCAGAGGAAGGCAGCCGCGGTCGGTGGCAGCAGCAGAAGCAGTGGCAAACCTATCCCCATCCGCGGAGACGCCGCAGCCGCCTGAAGATGTGTCACCCGGCTTGCTGGATCATCTTCTCGGCCACCACCGCCCTGCTCTTCATCCCAGGTACCCAGCGAAGGGCTCGCGCGATTCCTGGGGCCGTGGGGAGCGGGGCGAGCCGCCAGGCGGGGAAGGAGGAGAGCCCAGGCGGAGGAGAGGGAGTGGGAGCTGCGTGGAGGGAAGCCGAGGCAGCAGCCTGCTGCATGCATGCACCCACCCGCCGGGCTGGCTCACTCGCGCGCGGGCCGATGCTTGCAGCCTGGGACCTGCTCCGGCTCCCGGCCGAGCCTCCTGGCTGCGCTGGGTTCGAGATCCGCACCGCGCCGGGAGGCACCGCTGCTCCTGGCAAAGGCAGCTGCTGCCGTGGATGCCAGCCGCAGCCTCGGGCCAGGGGAGCAGGGCTTCCCGTGCCAGCCATCGGTGCCTCTTCTGTGGGACCTGCAGCGCCGGGGACCCCCGTGCCTCCCTCCACCGGGCTCTGTGTCTGGAGCCTGCTGATCTCCGCTCTCCTCAGTATCTTCAATGTTCCCCCTTCTCGCTCTTCTCCCTCCCTTTCTTTGCTCCCGACTCTCTCTCTCACTCACCCCAGTGCCTTCCTCCCCCACCGAGGAGGTTCCCTGCCTGGCCTTGCCCCCTCCTAGCCCCTCTCCTTTCTTTGTCCTTCCACCAAATGGGCAGATCGCACCCGGGCACTCCCTCCTCTCCCTCCTGCATCTCACCTGATGCACGTCCTCCTTTCTCTAGGCAGAATGTGCAATGTTCTGGGGGCTCTGAGGGTAGGGGAGGCTGCTGGGGAGGAGGGGTCTGCTCACCTGCCTCTCTCCTGGCTCCTTCCCCCACCGCCTGATCAATGATCGCAAACGGGATCCCAGCTCCCCTAGCAGGTGCTTGCTTGCAAGGACAAGCAGCCGCACCGGCATAGGTAGGATGCAGCGATTCTCCGGCACCGGCTTCGTGGAAGTGTTGCGGACCCGCGCGCTGGGTCGCTCTGCTCGCCGCGCGTGGGGTTGGCCCGCAGACACCCGCTCGGAGCCTGCAGCGTCCTTCAGAGGCGCTGGAGGCAGCGGGCCGGGCTCGCCCAGGCTTCAGGCGGCACCCAAGGGTCCCGGGGGGTTCCCTGCTAAGACCCCAGGCTGCCAGGGTTTCTGCCTTCCCCCAAACTGAGAGACGCATTCACCCAACTGCACATTCACCGGGAAGGGAAATCGCGCCCAGAGAGGCGCAGCGAGCCGCCTGGAGCCCTCACCCATCCAGAGAGGCGGGACACGCATTCCCATTCCAAGCCACGGAGTGGTTTGGGGGCTGGGGTGGGGTGGGGGCAAATGAGCCCCCAAGTCGTTTCCAAGACCCCGAGGTGAAATCAGAGAAAAGGAAGTTCCTGGGAGCCAGAGAAGAGGACTGCTTTTTTCCCAAGGAAAATCCAGTGGCTGCTGCCTCCTAAGGGACCCCGAGCTCGGCAGGCAGGGTGGGGGTCGCGCTGTTCCCCAGCGGCTGAGAAGTCGGGGGCGGTCGCGGCGTTGCTGTCTTTTTTTTTTTTTTTTTTTTCAGAATTCAGCCTAGGAGGGGGCTTGGGGGCCGGCCAGTACCAGCTCGGCACAGATAGAGGGAGCAGGCGGGCGCTCCGGGCGCGTGGGCCGCCCTCAAAGTTTCCCCGTGCCCGCGCGCACCCCGCGCCCGGCCGGCCGCTGGAGGGCCGCGCGGGCGCTGCACTGCGGGGCCCCCCGGGAGGCTGGAATCAGGGGTGATGCTTCCCTCTCGAGGTGCCCCGCACCCGCACCCGCTCCCCGCCGCTGCTCCAGACCCAGACCCTGAGCCAGCGCCCTGAGCGCGCTGCGCCAGGCCTCGGACCGGCTCAGACTCAGAGCGCGCGCCCAGCCCAGCACCCCGCCCTGCCTACAGACCCCCCGTGGGTTTGCGGGGCAGGAGAAGCACCTGGGGATCCCCGGAGCCGAAACGGATGCTCCTTGGAGACCCTCCCGAGGGAACCCGCCCGCTGGGTCCCAACTTGGCAGGAGCGCGCCACCCCCCACTTTTTTTTTTTTTCTCCTACCTGCTCTCGGCTTTCCACGCAGTATTTCGGCTCCCTACTCGGTCAACGCGAGCTCCTTACTTAGCATTTCTCCCCACCCCCCCAGTCTCAAGACAGAGGCTGATGGAATGATGCCTCCCTGACCTGCGTAGGCCTCAGTGCCGGTTGATTCCACCGCCTTCTGTTTCTTGGGGAAACACGTTTCCATCCCAGACTGATTTTAAGGCTAATCTTTTTGCCTAGAGGCCTTGCAGGGGAGGGCGGGGATCAGAAATGGCTTTTTCTAGGCAGACTCCGGATCTCGGAGGGGAGACAGTAACAAGCGGGAACCCTGGAGAGCCCACCTTAGGGCAGGAGAGGGCTTGCATAGGGTGGGGGGGGGCAATATCAGGGGTCCCTTGGGAAGGGATCCGGCCTGCCCGCAGGACTTCTGAGGCTGCTTTTGTGGTTCCAGGAAGGGGTAGAACCCCCTGGCTGGGGGACTTTCAGAGACCTTGAGTCTGTGCCAGCTTCTTCCGGAGTTGGGGGCTGGGACAGCAGAGAGGTAGGGGGACCAGCAGGAGGTGAAGGCAGTTGAGTTGGGCACTTGCATCTGAATTACCCCCAGGTGGCCGGTGACCAGGTTGCAGACCCTGCCCCTCCCTCTGAGGCATACACAAGGGGTCTCCACCTGCAAACTTTGCATCCCTGCCTGCCTCAGGCTCTGAGATGCACCAGGCAGACCCGGAGGCCCCATAGGCTGCAAGCAGGAAGTAGGACCCTCAGGAATGAGCTATTCCAGCTGATTCTTCACCTGCCCCCTCTCTTCCTCTCCTCCCAACAGGCTCCCCGTCCCCAGCGGGCTTCTCCTGGGCCTGGGCTGAGTGGCACCCAGGGATTGATCTGTCTACTCAACCCCCATGTCTTCTCTTTGGGGAGGGTGTTGGGGGCCTCCCAGCAGTGCTCAGGGATCCTGGGATACTCTGGCTAGAGGGAGGGGCGGCCCAAATCTCAAAGCCAGGGATGAGGTGCTGCCAGCTCAGTGATGCCAAGGGACACCAGGGTCACCCCTGTCACCCTGTCACAGGGGCTTGGAAGTTGGCATGAGGCTCCTGTCAGGAGTCTACAATGTCACCGACCTCCTGGGGGTAATTCAGATGCAAGTGTCCAGTTGCCTGCCCCCATCCCTCTGTTATCCCTGCCCCCAGCCCATGTGGGCTCCCATTTCTTGGCCAGACCCTGCCCTGCTGGAGTTTATGGCCCTGAACTAGGGTGGACAGTTCCAGAAGATGTAGGTTCCTCCTTCCCAGCTCACGGCTCCCACACCCTCCCTCCAGGGTGGAGCCCTGGGTACTGGCACTTAGGGTGGGTGCCTGGCCTTGGGGTGAGGGCTGGAGAGCCTTCACCCCCTCATCCTGCTCAATAGCAGGGCTGTTCATTCTCTCTACACATAGGACAATTGCAGAAGGTTTGAGAGTCCCCAGAGGCCACCCTGCCTCAGAACTTTTGCCCCTAGGCCTTAGTCAACTTGTGACCCTGTGCCCCTCAAAATGGATCCTCAAGCTCACTTGGTGCCACTACTTCTTCTTGGGTGCATCTTTGACTGATGGGATGGGGACAGTAGGTTCTGGAAGAAGGCTGTCTCCTGTGGACATGGCTGTGGCCAGATCTGGCAGCATGAGCGAGGCGGTTAGCAGAGATCCGCTGGGAGGACCGAGTTCTGTTGTGGGACTGGATCCTGCCAGAACCCCATTTGCCCTGGGCCTTCTCAGCACCCTCTGGCACATCTCTGGAACCTGGAAAAGGACGAAAGAGATTGCTCCATCAGCAGGCAGGGCCAGGGTCTGTGTGTGAGCAACTTGGCAGCCATAAGTCAGTCCTGGCCACGGCCTCACCTGGGCTGGTCTCCCCGACAACATCTCCCTCTCAGTCCACTGCAGGCTCCAAGAAGCTCCCCAGGGCTTTTCTGGGATGACTCCAACTGTTCTGAATCTCGGTCTCCTGGTCAGCAGCAGGGATCTTGGGGACTCCTGCCTCCACAGGCACAGCGGGGCCCAGGATTTAGGTCTCAGCAGAGCCAGGGGATGATGGCATTAGAACCAGGGTGAGATATTAGTTTCTGAGCTCCTGCCTACTTTCTGTGCTTGGCTAGCCTGCAGGAGTAGAGAGGGCATTTCCTGTTGGTGAAGGAGGAGAAGGGCAGGGTGGCACCATGTACATCTATATCACTGACTAATGATACCATCCATCCATCCACCCATCCACCCATTCATCTATCTACCCATCCTTTCACCCTTACATTCATTGGTCCACCAATCTCTCTCAATCCACCCATTCATCTTTATGTCCATCTCTACAAGCGGCCAACATGGCCGACCCGAGTTCGATTCCTCCGCCCCTCTCGGAGAGCCCGGCAAGCTACCGAGAGTATTCGATATGCCAGACACAGTAACAACAAAGTCTCCAATGGAGACGTTACTGGGCCCGCTCGAGCAAATCGACGATCAACGGGAGGGCCTTTACTATGTTAACCCATCCATCCATCCATCCATCCATCCATCCATCCATCCATCCATCCACACATCCTTGTGTCGGTCTGCTTCATCCTTCTGCCATCCATCCATCCATCCATCCATCCATCCATCCATCCATCCATCCATCCATCCACTATCCATCGATATGCTGAGACTTTAGACCAATTTCAACTATGCAAAATGCATTAAGTGGGAGGCTCTTGGTTCCAGAAACCTATATCCAAGCAAATAGGAAGTACTCAGTGGGTGGGTTCCCTCTCAGGGACCCATGGGGAGAGAAGCCTGCAGAATCTGAGCGGAACGGCCTGGGATGCAGCTTGACCCACCCCACTGACCCCTCACATAAGGCTTTGCCAGGCATTTGGTGGATGCTGAGGATATGATAGTTCTTCAGCCTTGGCTCTTGGTTCGAGAATCCCTGTCCCCTCTGGTCCTGGCCTCTGGCTCGTCTGCTCAGGCACAGGACAGGGGTCCAGGGAGGCTGCTTCTAGGAGGTGGGGCAGGGATAGCACAGGCCATATTGT